CAGTACCAGAAAAAAAGTTTAATCCAGTATAACTAGTAACTAGTACTTTGTAAGTAATAACAAGATACCAACTTGTTCTTTTTAACCATTTTATATTTTAAGAATATGCAGTATTCTTTTTTAATTCACATTTTAGAATTACAAAACAAGCATCATAATAGAGATTTGAAAATAATACTAGACTGAGGCAGGAGTATCACAAATTGAGCCCAGCCCGAACAATTTAGCAAGTTGGTGAGAACCGGCCTCAAAATAAAAAATTTTTAAAGGGCTGGAATTTAAAAAAAAAGAATTAAGCCAGGCCTGGTGGCACATGTCTATAATCTTAGCACTCAGAAGGCTGAGGCAGGAGGATCACCATGAGTTCGAGGCCAGCCTGAACTCCATAGCGAGACCCTGTCTCAAAAAAAAAAATTCAAAATTAGAATTTGATGGTTGATTTAGAATATGTACACTGTTGGGTTTTGTTATTTGTGATACATTTTTTTCAATATGGATCCTAACCAAGTGAACCAGTCTTAAGGAGGAAAGGACTGGAAATTACTGGACAGATCCAGGTGCATCTGGAAATGGAGATTCCCTGCTTCAGTTTTGCCCTGGGCCAGTGCTGCCCCAAACTGCCCCCCCTTTACCCCCCGTGCAAGGCTCGGTGGCCCAGTTTCGGGTCCTCTCCCGTGTGGACAAGGCTTGGCCTGACTTCCCTTCCAGATCCACCGCAAAAGGTCCGACCAGTCGCTAAAAGGGTATTGTGTACCCAAAAGCCAAATGCCAGTCTCAGGTCTTAGATCCTATCCTCTTTCTTAGAAAATCCAGCCTTAATCCAGTTTGCATTTTTCCCCCAAAGCAGCTTATTCACTAATGGAACAGTCAGATTCCTCCACTTTTTCATTTGTTCACACAGAAAAAAAGCTGCCGGAAGACCACCTGTATCGGACAGGCACCTGACTGAGGGCTGTTTATTCTGAAAGCAGATTTTCAGGATAATTCTCAGGATTTTGCACATGTCAAAGTGTCACTTTTCCATATAGCATGGTGCGGCTTCTGCACGGTAGTTCCCTTGTTCTTATTTCTAAGTCCCATCAGATGGAGACAGAAATAATGTGTTCATTCGTTTCTGAAACTTCGAAGCTTCACTTCATTTTCCTCCACCCAACACAAAAATAGCAAACCTTTTTCATCCATTTTTTAATATTCAGCCATTCAGAAATCTGTGTTGGGCCCAGTTCTGAAGTAATTATTTAGACATAACTCCCCATGATGTTAAAAGGAATTTAATCGAGTAAAGAACTACTAAATTAAGCTGCAAACATGAAATATATTATGTAGTTAATTTACAAATCAGAGTGGTTTCTGCAGAGTAGCCAAAAGAATTTCTTCTCAGAAAAATCAAACTTTTAAAACTACTAAATAAAATTCAAAAGACACCATATGCTTTTACTTGATATTTTATTTGGCTTTCTTCTGCTACCCTGCTGGAGTTTACCAATGGAGCTGTAAATAGGAAACCACTTTATAACAGAAATGACTTGCAATATGAAAAGCTTCTTGAAAAAAAAATGGCCTGTTTTAAATGGAGAATCATTTTTTACCAGCCTATTTGCCTAAAACGACCCGAACCTGGATTAAATAGTAATTAATCTATTACCATAGGCCACATCCACTTTATAGCAAGCTGACTTCTTCAGCTGAAATGAACTGTAGCACTTAGAAATAAGCACTGCTGAAAAACAAACAAACAAACAAACAAAAAGAAATAAGTACTGCTGGGCTGGAGATTTAGCTCAGTGGTTTCGCTGCCTGCCTCACAATTGCAAGGACCCGAGTTTGATCCCCGGTACCAAAAAAGAAATAAGTACTGCTATTGTTTACATGGGAAGACAGAAAGGCTGTGCACCAAAGTGTATGAAAATGGTTATTTCATGACAATAGGTTCTTCAAGGCCTCCTTGGAGGAGTTTGAGGAAAACCCTTGTATAGTGAGACATTTAAGAATTCAGAGGCTTGTGCACACAATCTGATCAGGGTGGGGTGGATGAGACAAGAAGACAAGTTAAGAGAGATTTGTCATGTTGTAGATACACATGTGTGTTGCACTTAGATATTTTCGTCCTGTTTTTCTAGGCTCCTCATTTTCATAGCATTGACTCCAAATGCAGCATGACACACCTAAGAACTTCAAGTTAACTTTGCATTCCTTGGTCTGGCCTGCAGGTTACTGGGTTATTATTTTTATTATTTTAGTTATCTCTTTCAAACACTTTCTATAATTAACTTAGCTTTTCATTGATGATCAATCTCCCCCACCTTGCCCCACCCCGTCTTAGGACCAGAAGTCTAAGTAGCCATCGTGGCAAGTAACCAACTGTGCCACCATGTCCTCAAGGCCATCTCTGGCTCACAGGAAGAACAGGAAAACAACCCAGTCCACCCAAAGAACTCCCAGTCTTCTGAGGAAAGCTGGGATCAGGGCTGAGTAGGCCTTGCTCATCTTTCTCCCAGCTGCAGGGTTGACTCAGTGGCAATAAGATGAGTCACCTCTATCTCACTGACGATTATAAAAACACCCCTGTGTGCTCTTGTATTTTTTAAACAATGGCCAGAAGTCAGGCTGACTTGAAGTCTACTTCAAGTAGGCCTGGACTCCACCTTCTAGCAACATCAGGGAGGTCACTTTTTAAGCCTCTTCTCATTGCTGAAAGCTATTTTGAAGCCCCTGGGAGCAGTCTCTTGAGTCCTGAGCAGCCAGAGTGGTGTGCACACACCCCACAACAGCCAAAAAGACCAAGCAAGAGGAAAATTCCAGCTCCAGTGCCACTGAGCACCTACCATGTGCTCCTGTGCCTCCTCTGCTCTGTTTTACACAGGGGGGAATTAGGACCTACAATACCTGCTCTGGCCCGAGATCACACCATTGTCACCTACAGAGCAGGTCCCAGGGGTGGCTCGGAAGTCTCCAAGCTGCGGTGCTCATCCCAGCCCTGCATGAAGACTTTGTTCTTCTGAAGGCCACTCTGAAACACCATTGTGCTGCGGAGCACGGGCTCTGGTAGCCACCTACTGACTTGTGATCCGGAGAAAGTCACTGGAATTCTTGCGACCTCAGTGCTTATATTTTAAAAACATAAATCTTGATGTTTCTTCTGTCACAGGGTGGCTGTAAAGGTTAAATGTAACAGTGTTCCTTAAGGTCCTAGTTCATATTGAATATTTATTAGGGGGTTATTATCATGAACTATTATTGTTCAATGGCTCCAGAGATAATTGCCCTGCACTTTTTACTAATAATTGAAAACATAAAGCAGCTACCCTACCACCTCTCTCCAGAATAAAAGACCGGAGCCTTCTGCATACTCTGTCTCCCTTTCTCCTCCCTCTCCCCTCTTCTTCCTCTTTTTCTTTCTCTTTTTCTAATTTTTTTATATTATTAATCTTTTCCTTCTTTGATGTTTTATGTCTAACTTTATTGAGGTTTTGTTTTATTATAGAAAACTTCAAACATATAAAAATTAGAATTTTAAACCTCAAATACCCATCACCTGGCTTCCACAATGTTTAACTTATAGCTGATGTAAACATTAACTCTAGATGAGAAAATTATAGGTTATTTTTTTTCCTCTTTAGTTTTGCCTGTAATGTTGGATCACTTGGGTGTCTCTTATTAAAATCCCGGGAAACATTTTCAAACATATAAGCACTACTCAATTTTACTTCTGTTTAGCTCATTAAAAACAAGCAAACAAACAAAAAAAGTGGCCTTGTCTTTCTGGATCCATGGTGGATAGTAATAGAAGTTGCTGAAAACTTACAACGTATATATAATCCATCAAATTCTCAAACTCAGCGTGGAATCAAGTCAGAGCATCTGAATGGAGTAGAGCCTAAGGATTTGTGAAACATTTACAAATTCTCGAGGATGTTTTTTCCTGAACCTGGTCCAAGGATTGGATTCTAAAGGACATACAAAGAAAATCAGCTTTGTCCTCCAGTTAGAGGAATTCCCCACCGCTCTATCAATGAAAATTGGGTCTTTGTCGACAAATGTGGGCCCCCAAAGTCTAGGTTGTTGGTGCAGAACCACTGAAATTATTGCAAACCACATCTCACAGATCCTGCAATGATTTCTTAGTAATGGCAAACTAATTATGTGATTACTAGGCTCCCTTCATGTGCCATTAGTCATAGGAAGCTGGAAAATATGCCTATTTTCAAGGCAAATTGCTCATTTTCTTGTGCTTCCCAAAGCAGATTCTCATCTGTAGGTCCAAACTGGAAAATGCAAGCCAAATTTTCAATTAAAACTTCTGAACAGCCATCCTCAACCGGGAGAGTGGTCTGTAATGACCAGGGGACTCGTAAAAACAAGAGAGAGGCATAAAAGGCCCAAGTCTTCTGTGTATTGTCTTCCTCACCTTCAAATGCTTTAGAAGAATTAAAAATCACAACCACTTTTATTCTCATAACTCAGAAAACACAGCATAACTATTTTTGTCCCCTGACAAATCCCTGGCTCATCAAGCTTTTGGTTCCACTTATTTGATCATGACAAACGACCTCATCTTCAAATCCAGAAGAACAACCCCGTCACCCAGAGCTTCAGTGCTCAAGAGTCTGGAAGACTCCAGCAAAGACAGGAAGGGGTTAGGGCAGCCTGTATCCATAGCAACAGAGAGACACCCCCTACCCCCAGTGTAGAACAGAAACAAGACCCTGCTGGGTATGGGAAAGGAGAGAAGAATGAGGAGGACCAAAACTCGATAGAGCAAGAACTGCTGAGCTAATGGCACACCCCTGTAATTGTAGCACTCTGGGAGGATGAGTCCAGAAGATGGTAAGTTCAAGGTCAGCCTTGAAAAGCTGGTTTAACCTAACATAGAAAGGTACCCAGGTGTGCAGTGGTGGATGCAACTTAGTGTGGAGGGCCTGGTTTCAATCTACACACACACACACACACACACACACACACACACACACACACACGCACACAGTTCCTTAGGGCTCAAACCACATCCCACTCATTTTTGTGACCACAGTGCTTGGTACACAGTAGGAATGCAATGAATGTTTGGTAAATTCAATTGAAGTGAGAAGAAATGAAATTACCAATATAGCTTGTAGCATCTCTGAACATAATTAATTCTTGAGGTTCCCAAATTCATCTGAGAGTTGCCTGCAGACTCAGTCATAATTTTCATCTAATGACAACCCCTAAGACCCGATATAAATTTCATTAAAACAGTCAGCGGGCCAGCAGCTAGAATAGGAGTGCAATGCCATGCAGAAGATCTGTATTGCACCAATATCGACGGTCAGAGGATGGACCGGGAGGTAGGTTAATTATGCTCTCTCCAGCCTGTGCCGCTTGGAACTTGTGTCTGGGGCAGGAGCAGACCTGGTGTAGATCTGAATCTACAGCAGGAGGAGTGATGTGGCGGGTATGTGCAGCTGGGTCAGGAGCTGCCGGCTGCTGGAGGCACAGCTGAGTCTGGGCTGGGGCCAGCCCCTGGGAACTCCAGCAGGGAGTTCCAGCAGAAATAAACCACACAGCCTGGGCTCGGGTCCCCTTTCACACAGCTCCACCAGGCAGTCTCCATTCTGCAGCGATTTGCTGTTTTTAATTCCAAAGCACACTCAAGTTCGATCTTGTTTCTGCATCCAACTTTTCGTCCAGGTGTGGCCCGAGCGAAGCTGGTAACGCTGTCGCACTTTCCCTGACCTGGTCCCAACTATTCCGGTAAACCGGTGTGGTCTGAAAAAGGTAACTTAATACCAACTCCAGCTCCGGGGGCGGCTGTGAAGTTGTTCCATTGTGTCGCAAGGAATGCTTTCTGCTACCACGTGTAGGGAGTCAAAAGAAAGGGCGTGGCTCCGAAGGTCTGAGGGCCGGGACTGTAAGGGCCATCTCCTTTTCATAAGCCGAGCTGGAGCGCTACACCAGCAAACATCTGGGCCAGGCATTGTTCCGCGTCTGAGGATCAGGAAGCTAGGGTAGGAGAGACAATGCAAAACGCCACAGACAAAAATAATTAGTTGAATCAGAACTGGTTACAGTGGCTGTGTTGATTTAAGACGCTCTGTGAGCTATTGGACAGAGTGGGACTTGATTTCTTTTTGTTGTATTTGCTTTCTTCCCAAGTGAACAAATGAAATAGGTATGAGACCGGAAATTAGAGCACACATAAAGCAGGTAGGTGGGATTTAATGAGTTAAACCTTTAAGCTTTACAGAATGCTAGACTTCTGATGAGAAAAAAAAAAGTGCTGACTCAAGACTTCAATTCCATGCTTTTATCTTTGGGAAGACAGCTAATTAAGAATAGTCTTTACAATGTCTTAGATTAGGCACTCTGCGTGAAAAGACACAGTCTGACATCGTTTAAATTTAATTCTCTATATTTCTAAATGCTCTTTGGTGAAGATACGTTTCTTTTATAATGAGAAAAAAGTTAATTTGTGTTATACTAACTGAAAAGTGACCCTCAAGGAAAGCGTGGTATAGGATCAAAGATCATTCAATTCAACCAGAGGTGGATTTGGGTTCAAGCTCTGGTTCTGCCACCTGTTTGTCCTAAGAAGTCGAAAAAGTTCTCTACTTTTCCGAACTGCAATTTCTTCTCTTGAGTCTTGTGGGGGATAGCCAATCTCACTTCTGAGAGCTATGACAAAGACACAATAGTAAGAAGCATCCCAGCCACTGAGAACAGGGTACCTCTTGCCAATGGCAGTAACAAAGACTCCCTTCATCTCGAGACTGTTGCAAAGAGAACCGCAAAACTGCATTGTGAGAATTCCTTCTTAAAAGATAAGCTAATTCTGCACAAACAAATATTTTAAAATGTTCATTAAGAAGCATGGTAAGAGGGGGGATGCAGCTCCAGAACTCAGGAGGCTGAGGCAAGAAGATCAGGAGTTTGAGGCCAGCCTGGGCTACATAGCGAGACCATCTCAAAAAACAAACAAACAAAAGAATACTTGGAAACTGAATTCAATATCACAATACAAATTTCCTAAACTATGTTCGATTTGGTTTCATCTCAGAGATGCAAGTTTATTCAACACACTCAGATCTATAAATGTAATACACCATAAAAAATAGAATAAAGGATTAAAGTCAAATGACTGTATTAATAGAGGCAGGAGAAGTTTTCAATAAAATTCAACATCCCTTCAAGATAAAAAAGACCTTAATAAATTAGGTATAGAGGCATCATACATCAATATAATAAAGGTTATATGTGCCAAAATCATAGTCAATATCATGCTGAATAGGAAAACAACAAAACATTTTCTCTGAAATCAGGAAAAAGACAAGGATGTCCACTATCACCACTCTTGCTCAATATAGTACTGGAAACTTTAGCCACAGCACTCAGGCAAGAAATAGAAATAAAAGGGCTATAAATAAACAAAGAAGACAGATTATCCCTGTTTGAAGACGACATGACTCTATACCTAGAAAACCCCTGAGTTCGCTAAAAGTCTCTCAGAACTGATAAAATCAGCAAAAGAGCAGAACTCAAAATCAACATACAGAAATCAGTAGCTTTCCTATATACCTATGAACTTACTGAGAAAGAAATCAGGAAAACAATCCCATTCACAATAGCCTGAAAAATTAAAGGATCAATTAACTACTTAGAAATAAAGCTAACCAAGGAAGTGAAAGACCTCAACAATGAAAAGAATAAAACATTGAAGAAGATACTAGAAGACTGAAAGACCTCCCATATTCATGGATTATGAAAATTTATATTGTTGGCATAACACTACTACCAAAAGCATTCTACACAGTCAGTGCAGTAACCATCAAAACACTAGTGACCCGCTTCACAGAACTAGAAAAAACAATCCTAAAATGTGTATGGAAGCCTGAAAAAATCCCCCAAAACCAGCTGGGTATGATGGCACATACCTGTAATCCCAGCACTCAGGAGCTGAGGCAGGAGGATCCCTTAGAGTTTGAGGCCAGCCTGAACTACAAAATGACACCTTGTTGCAAAAAACAAAAACATAAAAACAACAACAACAAAACAGAAAGAAAAATCCCCAAAACTAAAGCAATCTTGAGCAAAAAGAGCAAGACTGGAGGCATCACAACACCTGATTTCAGATTGTATAATCTTTGCCTTTTACAATTCCTGATTTCAACATATACTACAGAGCCATTGTAGAAAAAACAGCAAGGTATTGGCATAGAATAGACACATAGACCAATGGAATTGAAAAGAAGACCCAGGAAGAAGCCCACACATCAGCAGCCATCAGTTTCTTAACAAAGGGGCCAGAAACACACTGGAGTGGGGCAGCCTGTTCAGCAGAGGTCACTGAGAAGCCCAGATGTCCACCTGTAGAAGAATGAAACTAAATCTCTGTCTCTCGTGCTACAAAAATCAATGCAAAGTGAATCATAGACCTTAATGTGGCACCTGAAACTTTGAAACTACTAGGGGAAAACATGGGAAAAAAGCTTCAAAATACTGGTATGAGCAATAATTTCCTGAACAGGACTCCAACAATTTAGGAAATAATATCAAAAATCAACAAATGTGATTACATCAAATTAAAAAGCTTGTGCCTAGCAAAGAAACCAATCAGCAGAGTGAAGAGATTACCTACAGAATGGGAGAGAATCTTTACCAACTGTGGATTTGGTTGAGGGTTAATATCTAGAATATATAAAGAACTCAAACATTTTAACACAAAACAACAAGTAATCCAATCAGTAAATGGGCAAATGAGCTAAACAGACATTTCTCAAAAGAGGTACAAATGGCCAAGAAATAGATGAGAAATGCCCAACATCTTTAGCCATTAGGAAAATGAAAATCAAAACTTATTGAGATTATATCTCATCCCAGTCAACATAACTATCATCAAGGAAAAAAATTACAAATTCTTACTAGGATGTAGGGAAAGGAGCCCTTCTGTACCATTGGCAATATAGATTAGTACAGCCACTATGGAAAACAGGGTGGAGGTTCCTCAAACATCTAGAACTACTACATATCCAGCTATCCTTTCCTTCTCACAGAGCCCAAAGAATCAAAGTCAACATACTCTGGTGATGCCTGTGTAGCTACATAGATTTTGGTACTGCTCATAACAGCCAAGTTATAGGATCAGTTTAGATACCTCTCAATGGATGACTGGATAAAGAAAATGTCATATATAATACATTTGCATATATATAT